TGCTTGTTGCACTTCTTGAGATTTTGAAGAAAACACCCAAAAGCAAATTTTATTCTTTTGTAACTTTTAAGCAACATTAAATAATAAAAATTGTAGGAGAGAGTTCAATATTGAGGATAAAAATAATAAAGCAGAATATAAAAAGATGAGTATAAGGTAAATAATAATATAGGGTCAAATTTTTTTTTAGGAGATAAATAAGGAAACACAATTTCCCACTTAAGGAAATTATTCCCAAAAAATGTTCCATTCCCTTAGAAAAGTGGGCAAACTAATGTCATTTGGTTCTTTTTTTTTTTTTTTTATACTTCTTACATTTTCTTAAAAAATTTAAGTACAATTTTTTTAATAATATGTATAAGTATTTTTTTTTAAAATTAGGGGCCCCCAATAATATGAGGCCCCAAGCGATGACTTTAGTGGCCTAGTGGATAAGACGGCCCTGCACATTGTAATCCTCTCCCCCATTTCCCCTTCCCCACCCCCAATTTTTGAGAAGAAAAAAAAAACTACACTTGCTAAAAATAATTTAGAGGAAATCACAAAATGATGAATTTGATTACTAATGTAAAGACATATATAGTTGGTATTTGATTTGTACACTGATGAGTCCACAAATTGGACTCATCTAGGGCTTTATTTTAATAGAAATAGTGTCCTTAAATGCCTGTTTTATCTCAATACCTGATTAAAATGCTTAAAGTTCAGGTATTTGAAGTTTTAGTATAAGCATGGACACTTAGGCGCAAAATGAAGCAAAAAGGGCTGAAAAGAACAAGAAAGGAAAGTATGCGGATCGCCGAGTCCAACTTGGCGAGTCGCCGAAAGGACATGCACCGCCCTTTGTTCCAGTACGCAAAGCCCTGAAGGAAGTGGATCAAAAGGCGATGAAAGGAGCAGGCGGCGAGTCACCGATTAGTTCCGCTACCGCCCAATGATCCAGAATGCTAGAATACTGAAGGCAAGACGCTGAAGGCGATAAGCTGACCAAAGGGCGGATCGCCGAGTTCATCGGCGATCCCAACTAACGTCGCCAAACAATCCTCCGCAGCACAATCTGTGAAAACTATAAATACTAGTTAGAGCATGAGATTTTAGTGTGGAACATTTTAGAGTGAAATTATTATTATTCTATAGTACTTTCTATATTTTTTCTCTCAAGTTTGGAGAGGGTTTTGTGGAGACTTGAAGAAAGGAGTTCATCTTCTCCAAGTTGGAAGTGGGTCTTCTCTATTCTTCTTCCTTTTCTTAATTCAAAGTTTAATTTCTTATACCCAGTTGATTTCTTTATCATGTTAGGTATAATTTCTTATTTCTTGATGTGTGGCTAAAAATCCCCAATTCTTGGGGTGTGATTTAGCAAATATGTGTTGATATTATTGTTGGGTCTTTCTTGCTGATAGGTTAGATGTATTTTAATGGTGATTTCACCTAGTGGTTGTGGTTTAATTTAATGGGTTTGTAGTTGCAAATCAAAACCACCCATGTGTTTCGGCTTGCCCGAGAGGGAGGTCGCGAAACCAAGACCACTAGACTGATGGCCTAAGGAGTGGGTCGACATGAGGTTCAGCCCGAGAGGGTGAGCCCTAGTCCTATATCCTAACACTCAGCTCGAGAGAGTGAGTGGGGTAAGGCGTAGGCTGGTCTTCATGCGGCAAACGGGTATCCGAGAGGAACGCATTTGAAACGGGGTAAGTTGCCCGAGAGGGAACTTATTTCCATTTAAAGCTTAGCCTAGTCACTATTATGTTGCAAATTTCCTATCGAAAGCATGTACCCAACATCTTGGTATCAACATGTATTGCGGTCACGCCCCAAGAACTTGTCCCCATACTTGAGTTCCCCTTTATTTTTACTGTTTTTGCTTAACTTGTTACAAAACCCCCAATTGATATTTGACACTTTCGTGTCACCTCTTAGATTTACCATGTTTTTAATCGCAAATATCTTTAACTACGACTAATTCGAATGAAATTCTAATTGGCTATTGATTCTCAAAACCACTCCCTTGGGACACGACCCCAACCCTTGGTTGGGTTACTATATTATCGACGATCGTAGACACTCATACCGTAGGATAGTGTCGTTGGTCACGATAAGCATCATACACCTTCCTCAATATTCTTCTTCTCTCTTATGGATAAATAAAGTGAAGACAATGAACCTGTTATGGCCTTTGTTATACTTTCAAGTCAAGCAAACCATAGAAGTTGAAGGATCAAACACATGCCTTTACAAATATACTAATAACCATGTCATTTAGATAAAATTAATATAAATTTTGTGGTTCGTAATTTATAATATAAAGATCATAAGGACTTCAAAAATCTAAAGAAAAGAGTATCATTATTAATATTAGAATAGAATAAAACCACTTAAACAAAATAGATGAAGACTAACAAAAGCAGCTCAAGCTTACATTGCAAAAATTTCTTGTTTTAGTAAGATATTCTCTATCGCAAAAGGTAAACCTTAAAGTTTGTATAATTGGCATGAAAGAAGTTTGGACCGCTCCTTATTTGCTGCTTCAACATCATCTGATGATAATATCTCATTATTTTTAATCATCTCCATGTCGTCCTAAAATTTCATGAAATAATGAGCCTTGATGATAACAATATCTCTTCATGTTTCATTTGTAGTTTTTCATCTGCTAATCACATTTAATAGTAAATATTGTATAGTACTAAACTATTGTATGATATAGGATAATGTGCATTAATTAATGAATAATGGAGGAATATTAATTTATTTAGCTAGCTTCTGTGGTTATCTTCATGCATTAGGGGGAAATGCAAGAGTTATTAAACTTATTAAATATAAATGTGATAGTCCATTTGTATTCATACCATGAATGTGCAGTAACTTTTAAGAATCACTTGTATAGTAAATATTGTCCTTCTGTATTCATACCATAAATGTGCAGTAGCTTTTATGAACTTGTATAGTAAATTTACATTTGTGTACAATAATGTTAAGAAATTATTGGCGGACTTAAGGAAAAGTATATATTATAATTAATGTGTATATATATTTTTGTCCATAAATATATAATAATAGTATTTAAAGAAAATGATCGTATTTATTATAATTATTAATGTGTATTTATATTTTTGTCCATACTATTATGACTTTATAGGGATATTTTCGTAATCCAACTTTTAACTTGGAAGCTTCCCACTTATAATATAACAAGTGTTTTTTGTGTCTTATATGAAAAATCATGAAGCTTTTGCTGCAAGTCTCCAAAAATTTCATCGATATTTTTTTTTGACTAATTAGCTCGTTCTTCCAAATAAGTTGAAACTTGAGTTGTTAAAATGGATTTGGTATGTTTGAATTTTTTTAAAAATAATACCGCTCCATCAAATTTAGATTAATATGATGTAATATGCACAATTAGAATTGGGAATAATTTTAATCAATTTAATGAATCCTAATTATTTCATTGTAACAAGCAAATAGAATTTTTTTTTTATTATTATGAACAAATAAAAACAAAAAAAAAATTTCCACAAGTTGTGCAATGATTGTTGAAGATGCTTCAATTTTTTTAATCTTTTCTCAATATATATTTTCCACAAGTTGTGCATTAATGATTGTTGAAGTTGCTTTATTTTTTAAGACTTTTCTCTATATGTGTTTTTCCCCAAGTTGTATAATGGTTGTTGAAGATGCTTTAATTAAAAAAAATTACCTTTTGTTTAGTGGAAAATTTCAAAAACTTTAATACATCTTTGTCCTTTTATCCAATCGTAGTTCTTTATTCAGAAACCACATGGTCATGTTTCGTTTTTTTGTCCTTAATCATATAAGTGATAAGTGGACCCTTTCAACACATTATTTGAGCCTTACTTTTATGTCTATCACCCATTTTCCAATATTCAGCCTCCTCTCAATCAAAACTAGTATTCCTGAAGATGGCTGATGCCTTTGTGTCATTTGCAGTTCAAAAATTGGGTGATTTCCTCATACAACAAGTTTCCCTGCTTACAAATCTGAGAAATGAAGTTACATGGCTGAGAAATGAGTTACTCTTCATACAGTCTTTCCTCAGAGATGCAGAACTAAAGCAAAGTAGAGATCAAAGAGTTCAACAATGGGTATTTGAAATCAACTCTATTGCTAATGATGTTGTTGCTATACTCGAGACTTATAGCTTTGAGGCTGGTAAAAGTGCTAGTCGTCTCAAGGCTTGCGCTTGCATATGTAGGAAGGAGAAGAAATTCTACAATGTTGCCGAGGAGATTCAATCACTCAAGCAACGAATCATGGATATCTCTCGCAAACGAGAGACTTATGGTATTACAAATATCAATAGTACTAATGCTGGAGAAGGGCCAAGTAATCAGGTTACAACATTGAGGAGAACTACCTCATATGTGGATGATCAGGATTACATTTTTGTTGGACTTCAGGATGTTGTACCTACCTCATATGTGGATGACCAGGATTACATTTTTGTTGGACTTCAGGATGTTGTACAAACATTGCTAGCTCAACTTCTCAAAGCAGAGCCTCGTCGAACCGTCCTCTCCATTTATGGCATGGGCGGATTAGGCAAGACCACTCTTGCAAGAAACCTCTACACCAGTCCTAACATAGCTTGAAGCTTCCCTACACGCGCTTGGATATGTGTTTCTCAAGAGTACAACACAATGGATCTTCTTAAGACTATCATAAAATCCATCCAAGGTTGCGCCAAGGAAACTCTAGATTTGTTGGAAAAGATGGCAGAAATAGATCTAGAAAATCACCTTCGTAAGCTATTAACAGAATGCAAATACCTTGTGGTGATTGATGATGT